TAGGGTTTCCTATTTGTACTCACTTCATTTCATAGTTCACCCATTCTCGTTCTTCATTTTCACAGAGTGACTCTTCGCACCCCTCCCTAAGCATTGCTGGCTCGACGCAGGTCTTCACGACATTTACTTAGGAGGTTGATGTGACCATGTTCGTGAAGACAACCTGATTGCGCTGCTCCTCGACAACGCGAGAAGTCACAACCTGCATATTCCCTATCACGGAAGGCATGTGTGGCCTGTGGACGAAGAAGATGCGCAACGTGCCGATCATTTACTTGTTGCCCAACACCACCGCGTTCATTCAACCGCTCGATCAGGGGATATTCTCTGCGGCGAAGGCGCGCTTTCGCATGAAGTTGGGACAACTGTGGTGCGCCAGCACATCTGCAGACCGTGAAGCCCAAGGCATAAGAGACGGTGATGTGGATCAGCGACTCGTGCATGAGCATCATTGCAGAGACTGTTCAACGCTACTAGGCGCACACCCTGCTGTTGCATCACCACAAAAATTCGACGCTCCCGTTGGCTAGCGCGCCGACTTCGGACCCGGCAGGCATAAAGGCAGAGGTGGACCTTCTCGACATTGTCATCCCGCAGCTCCACAGTGGCGAAGATGCGATGACTAGTCGACAGTTCATGAGTCTCGACGAGAATGCTCTGATATGCACCCTGGTGGGCCCCGATCCCTTGGCGACGGAGCCTCCCGTCCTGTGGACGCCGTGCAAATAGAGAGAGCCCCCCTTCGACATCCTGGGGACCAGCGAGGGCCGTGAGCTACGACTGGTTGCGTGCCACGCTCTCGACATTTTGATCATCTACGCGCGTGCAAAATGGATGAGTCATCGCGATATGGTGCAGCTATTCGGCATTGGAAACCCGCGGTTCGAGTGCGCCTGGAGCGCGCCAGCACGTCGATCCTCAGCCTGAACCAACCGCCACCAACTCGCTCACCCACACGCGGTCGCGAATATGTGGACACTGCAGGATCGTATAAACACGTTCTGCAGGCAATAGCTGTGATGGATGGGTATGCGGATCAGGCGGAATGGATGCGTGACTACGATGTGTAAGAAATTGCTGGCGATGAGGTCATAAAGCAATGGTGAACGTTAATTTCTGATACAAGTCCCACATCTTTTTGTAGTTTGCTCATCACTTCGGGAATGTGTGTGGCGTGTTCTAGAAGTTGCAGTGTCGGGGGACATATGGAAATGATGGTTGAGAGTGTTGAGTCTGGATGATTCATTTTTAATTTTTTATTTTGAAATTGTGCGTATGTGATGCCATTGTATGAAGTGCTTGTGTCTTTTAAGAACTAACTGAAATGGAAATTTGATGTATGCCTGAATGTGCGACTTCATGAATTTACAGCAGAAGTGCCCAAACAAGACAACGAACTCCACACCGGCTAACTGTCAGAATGTTATATTGTCTAGTCTGCAGTGGGGTACTCAGTAATGAGTACAGCCCTGTTAGTGTTTTGTATTTGTATCTCCTCTGCCTGCTAGTGCAATCCCCCTTCTTCCATTTCTCCTTCCTAAAACCTAAGCCCTAACTTGGCTTAGGATTCTAACATGCTATCAGAGCGACTACGCTCCTGGCCTGTGGGCCCACCTGCTTCCGCTGCTGTACTGTCTGTCGCGCGCCCCGTGGCGTGCGACGTCTTTTCTTCCCGCCACGCGCTCGAGGCGCGTGGAGGTTTTCTGCCTGCCACGCGCTCGGGGCGCGTGGCGGTTTCCTGCCCGCCGCGCGCACCCGGGGCGCGCGGCGGTTTCACGCCCCGTCGTCCGTCGCGGCGCCCCCAGGGACCCGCGCGCGGCCCCCCGTCGCCTGTCGCGGCGCCCCCGGGGACCAGCGCGCCGCCCCCGTCGTTCATCGCGGCACCCCCGGGGACCAACGCGCCGCCCCCGTCGTCCGTCGCGGCGCCCCCGGGGACTGTCGCGCCGTCCCCGCCCCGTGGGACCCGCGCGCCGCCCCCGCTGGACCCGCGCGACGCCCTGCGGGACCCGCGCGCAGCCCCTGCTGGACCCGCGCGCTGCCCCGCTGGACCCGCGCGCCGCCCCTGGGGACCCGCGCGCCGCCTCTCCTGGACCCGGCAGCCCGCCCGCGCCCTGCACGTCGCGACGCCGCCCGCCCTCCCCCCCTCCTCCTTCGACTTCCTGCTGCGCGTGCAGCCGTGTGGAGTGTATGGGGGGGCGGGGGTAAGGGGGGGTATGGGGGTGGTGGGAGTGCGTGACCAGCTGCCCCTCCTCCTCCTCTCTCTCCCACTGCTGCAGCTGCCGCTGAGGGGGGGATGGAGTGGGTGAGGTTGGGGAGTGGCGCTAGCCGGGGGGGGTGTGAGAAAAGGGTTTGGGGGCAATGGGGGGAGGTGGAAGGAGGTAGCCGCTGTGTCGCCTGCTGCTCCAGTAGTCCGGGGCCCTTGCTCCGGTAGCACGTGAGCCCGTTGCTCCAGTCGCCCGTGGGTCCGTTCCTCCAGCCGCTCGTCTAGCCGCGGAGCCAGTTGCTCCAGTAGTCCGGGGCCCTTGCTCCGGTAGCCAGTGTGCCAGTTGCTCCGTTGCCCGTGTGTCAGCAGCTTCACATGCCGCCTCCCAACTCCTCTCCTCTCGTAGTCCCTCCTCCTCCTCACTGCCCCTCTGCTATGTCTGCCACTAGGGCTAATTTGTGAATTTGCTCTATGACTGCTTGTTGTGCTTATTATACCCCACTTTGCCTATGGGGGTGTGTCAAAATGCTATATTATCTAGTCTGCAGTGGGGTACTCAGTAGTGAGTACAGCCCTGTTAGGGTTTCATATTTGTATCTCCTCTGCCTGCTAGTGCAACCCCCCTTCTTCCATTTCTCCTTCCTAAAACCTAAGCCCTAACTTGGCTTAGGGTTCTAACACTAACCCATGTCACGACATGCATACCTGCCAGATGTTCACGGTATAGTCCCAATTTGCCCCACGATTCACATTCACGGTAGACGCACATCAACACCCAGTGACAATAGAGTGAAAATGCTGTACTATGGTGTTTTAAAGTTCCATACATCTCAACGGACAACCGACGCCGCCCGGACAGCTCGCTGCCGGAGAAGAAAACAACACACCTTTTAGGGAAAAGGCATGCGACCAGGGGAGGCACCAACCCTAGAAACCATGCTGCAAGGTGTGTAGGGTTGGTACCTCCCTCAGACGGCATGCCATTTGAGAGGGTTTTAGTTTTTTGCCTACCCGGACGACATCGTTACGTCGGTCGACGATGCCCCCATATTGACATGTCTTGGGAAATTCCCTGAGACATACAATATTATACAACTCTGTTTACAGAACCTAGCTAGATAAATGAATAAAGGAGCGAAACGGTGGGGGTGGTAAAGGAGAAGAGTGATTGCGCGGCGGAAAGATGGCACCAGACGTATTCCTGATTTTATAATGGAGGCTTTCATTGTTTTTTTCCTTTGCATTGCTTTTGTTCATATATTTTATTCCAAGTGCCGTAATACCAGTATGTAGGCCCTATATAGCCATTGGGAAGAGGAAAAGCTTCCAGTTAACCCAGTGGTGCAGAGAGTTGTAGACGGTTGGCACGTGTGGCTCGCAGGGAGCAGGTGGTGGGCTGAGAAGGAGATCCGCTAATACTTTAGTGTATATGAAGTTCACAGGAAAAACAACCACAATCCTTTATATGGTACAAAATTATCCACGTCGCTGACATCAGGAATCGCAGCGAGCCTAAAGTACCTCTTCCATTTCTCCGACGCAGGCACCCCGGACTGAACACGGAGCTCCACCACTGTCGGCACTCGGTCGTAGAAGGCCCTCAGCTGGTGCATTAGAGGGGTGCTCAAGGGGTGACGCGTATGAAAGACATGCATGGGGGGAAGCAGGTTGGAGAGAACTGCTTGCAGCCACCCGTGCTGCTTGTGCCGCTACTGCTGCTTGGACGCACTGCAAAGGCGTGTTGACGAGAAAGGCCCCGCCCTCGCTTACGCAAAGCCGACTTCACTTTCTGGTGCGCAAGGTGTCCGGCTACATATCATGGACGACGCCGACCTGGAGAAGGAAGTCGACCAGATTGAATCATCGATTTCGGCGGGACCACAACGAGGCCGACCACAGCGAAGCCGACCATGGCAAATCCGACAAGGCCGACCACAACGAAATGAAGTCGGCGGGTGGCGCCGAGCCCCGGCAGTCGACGAAGATGATCATCGACTTGATGCTGACCGACCAAGTACTTCGTCGGCGGCGTCGGCTGAGCAACATATTTCTGGTCGACCAAACATTACAGGGCGATGTTCGGCTGCCACAGGGGATGGGAGGGAGGGGATGGGATGGAGCATCAAAACGTCGAGCCTCCTGGTTTGACCTGTTCGAACCAGGCAAAACACTTCGGTCAGACAAGAAAATTGTGAAAAAAGTGTCGGACGTGAGCCTAAAACGCAACGCGGACCCCGCGCTAGGCTTGAACCCGCGTTGCGTCCTCCCCCAGATTCCCCCCCATGGCGGAAAAACTCCGCCCTAGTGTTCAGGGCATGGAAAGTGCATTCCCGTGGGTGGTCTTAGCCCACGGGGGATGAAAAATGCATGCCCCCTTCCACGATTTTCGTTTATTGTTTTACCCCACACTCTAAAAAACAACATAACGCGAACATCGACATTATAATGCTAAACACACAGATTTAAAATGAAATCGCTAAATTTAACTAAGGTCGAATCGTCATTTACACCCTTAAGATTTGATTTACGGTATACAGAAGTTTGGAAAAGTGAGCTACCCAAACAAATCGCAATAGTAAATTCGGGAAAACTGTTCAGCTCGCGAAGTTTCGTTTTGCACGGCTGCAGTTTCGTGGGCCCCCAAATCCCGAATCGCTCGTCCGCACATTTTCCCCCAAACTTTCCGCTTGCGCCTGGACTCCAGACTTGGAGTCAACGATGGTTGACACCGAGTTGACCACCCCAAACTAGAAACCCTAGCTGATGCATGCTACATATCACCTGAGCATGCAACAGATTACTTGAGCATGCAAAGAAGCACCTGAGCATGCAACCGACTACTTGAGCATGCAAAGAAGCACTTGAGCATGCAACAGATCACCTGAAAATACAACAGAGCACCTGGACAGCACAGCACATGGACAGCACAGCAGGGCACCACACAATGCCGCAAGAAAGCTAACAAGCATCGAGATCAGCAACTGAGAGCAGCTTAAAAAAATAGGTGGAGGAGTGAGGCCAGAGGCACAAGAGAGACGAGACAGATGCGCGTGCACGACATAGAACTTAGTGGCCATTCATAAACCATCCCCATGCTCCCCCATGCCCCCCATGCTCCCAATGCTCCCCCGTGCCCCCAAATCCTCTCCCACGCTCCCAATGCGTCCCCATGCTCCTAATGCAACCCCGTACTCCCAATCCTCCCCCATGCCCCCCCATGCTCCCCCATGCTCCCAATGCTTCCCCATGCTCCCAATGCACCCCCATGCTCCCCCATACCCCCCCATGCTCCGCCATGCTCCCAGTGCTTCCCCATGCTCTCAATGCACCTCCATGCTCCCAATGTTCCCCCATGCTCCCACCACCCATCATATCTCCTTGTGCCCGACACCGCTCACATGCACCTCAGGGCAATACCCGCACACCATCACAGGGTACTTCCCCATCAGCCTCCGCAGGCCATCTCTCACCTCCTCCCACTCCCTCAACGCCTCCTCTGCCACCTCCCTCAGACCCCCCTCCTGCTCCGCTGCTCCTTCCTCACCCTCTTCTTCCTCTGCCACTTTTCCCTTCCTTTTCCTCTCCTTCTCTGCCTCTAAATCGTTTCTCCTCTCCAACCCTCTCCCAATCTTGGCCCCATTACCCTCCTCCTCCTTTCTTCCTCTCCTGCCCTCCTCCATTCCCCTCTCCAGCACCCCTCCCTTCGCCCCATCTTGCCCTTAAACCCCTCATCCTGCCCATTCGTCTTCATACTCGATTGTGACTTAACACTGTTACGTATAGGAATGTTCAATCCATTATTTCATATCGTAACAGACTGCATAGTCAACATCTGTCAAACTTTGTCAACCCTTGTCAGAGTGAATATAAAACGACGGAAGTGACTATAACAAGGAAATTCAAAGGTTTATACATGGCTACAAGGGAATGCGAAACGACCTAGCTAGCCATGTACTCTAAGGGGTACATTCCCGACGCTTTTGTTCAAAGGACCAGACTAAATCTGGTATCGGCAGGGCCCGGTAGGAAACCCACACGATGCCCGGCTGTCAGAACCGCCACCGCGGCTAGCGCTCCCCAGACTAGTAGGTCCCCAGTGTTGTTGAAAGACCCAGTGCTAGAGCTGCTGCTGCTGCTACTTCTGTTGCGGAGTCTGCGGAGAGTCATTCTACAATAGTCGTGAGCTAGACCACGGGGTGTTGGCACGAACTCTAGGAGTGATCGTAGCTTTGTTTAGTTCCTTAACAATTGCACATTAACGAGAGAAATCGGCAAGAGTTTCCACTAGAAAATATTTCATTACAGAATAATAGCAATGACAATGACAAGAATGACTACTTCAGCTGCAGCCGTCGAGCTCCCCTGGTCGACAGCTCCAGCCCCGCGACAGTCCTGTGCATGTCGACGACCTGCCCCGCAGAAGAAGGCCGTCGAGCTCCCCTGGTTGACGGCAACACCGCAGCGATCCCATGCAACTCGACGAAGCCCGTCGAGCAGCACCCTCACTGCGTACGGTTGGCTGCTTCTCCCGTGCATCCGACCAGGACGTCGGCGTCGCCCAAGCGAGGGCGGGGCCAACACTCCATTCCCGTTAACACTCCCCTGCCGCGCTCACGCTTGGGCTCCCCAGCCCACACGACAGTACTCCACGAAGAACACTAGTCCTCGGCGTGCACCCCACACACAGCACGACGTCACCACACCAGCCGTGCAGAAGGGCACAGCACCTACTGCTGCACCTCATCGTCCCCGTCGCCGACGTTGCCTAGGCGCACTTGGCCGATCGCGACGGAGCACCGGTTGAAGGCCGAAAACTGCAGTGCCTTCGTCAGGAATTCGGCCGGCTGCTTGGTGGTCGGGATATACTTCAACATGAATTTCCCGGGCCTCACCATGTGTTGCGGCCAGGTGTAGCGTCGCTCCATGTGCTTGAGGTTACCCGTCAGCCCCAAGCCCTCAGCGACCGTGATCGCCGACTTGTTGTCCACCTGAAGGAGAGTCGGCTTCCCAGCGTCGAGCTGCTGGAACTCCGCAAGGAGGAAGCGGAGTCAGCGTCCCTCCTTGCCAGCATCCGTGGCCACCACGTACTCCGACTTGGTCGACGACAATGTAGCGCACTTGATGCGCGAGCTCGACCAGGAGACAGCGGCCCCTCCGTAGACGAACATGTAGCCGCCCGTGCTCGTTCGGTTTTGCTTCTCACCGGCGTCGTCGGCATCCACGTTGCCGACCAGCTTCAGCGACTCTGGTCCACCGCCGAACTCCAGGGCGGTGTCGCGGGTGTCGGCGAGGTCGGCGAGGCAGCGGTCGACCTCGCGCCAGTGCTGGTCGCTCCTCACCGTGAGGCCGCTCCCCAGCTTGCAGCAGGCGAAGGCGATGTCCGGCCTCGTCGTCGTCACCGCGAACTGCAGCGAGCCAACCTTCTGCCGGTACTCCTCCTCCTCGCGCTCCTCCGCCTCCTCGTTGATGAAGCGCCTACGCAGCTTGTCTGCGTAGCCCTGTTGGTGCAGCCACAGCTTCCTCGCCGGCCTGTTGTCTGCGCACGATCTCCAACCCGATGTACTTGACGACCGGTGAGATCTCACGCAGCTCGAGGGCGGCCTCCAGCAGCTCCTTCAGCATCGCGGTGCTGCTGTTGGCGGCGAGTAGATCGTCGACGTAGACCAGCACCCAGCAGGTCACTCCGTCGTCGCCGACCTTTAAGTAGAGCGCCGTGTCGACCTGGCTCTTCTTCCATCCAGCGTTCAACAGCACGCCGTCGAGAGCCGTGTACCACAGCAGCGGCGACTGATACGGTGTCGTCGATGCGGTACTTGGTCGTCAGCACCCACCGGTTCTTCATGATGTTCACCCCGCGTGGGCGTTCGACCAGCTCCCAGTTGCCCATGCCGATGAGACTACGGATCTCCTCGTCCATGGCAGCCTTCACTGCCTCGCCCTTGCAGCTCGCTAGCGCCTCCTTCACAGTCATCGTCGCGATGTCCCGGCGGTGCTCGGGGTCGGCGTGTATGTCAGGGTCGAGCTCCGGGAGGTCGACGTCGTCTTCAGCGTCGTCGTACAGCAGGTCATCGTCGGCGTCGTCGTCCACCATGGTGAAGGCAGCCGGTGGCAGGCAGGCATGGTAGCTCAGCCACTTTGGTGGCCTCCGAGTTCGACCTGAGCGTCGCAACTCAGGCTCTGTGCATTGCAGCTCAGGCGTCTCGATCGGCAACTCCACCACGTCGCTGTCGGTGGACTCCTCTCCTGCCGACAGCTCCCCTTCCTTGTCGATATCCTCGTCGTCGACCAGTTGCTTCGCCAACGTTGGCCCTTCGTCCGGCTGCTCCCTTGTCGACTTCCCCGTCTGCTGCTCCCTTGTCGACTGGACTTCTGCTGCTGCCTCCTTCTTGACCAGCTCCCCTGTCTGCTGCTTCCCTGTCGACGGCTGCACATCCTTGTCGACGGGCTTGGCGTCTCGTCGGCCGTTGGCGATGGCACTGGCCGGCGCCACAGGCGACGCCTCAAGGCTTTCCTCATCGCCGGTGGCCGACACTGGTGTCAATGCAGGCCGATCTGCGATGGGGTTGGGAGTGGCAAGGACAGGGGGCGGAGGGAGGACTTCCTCGAAGTCCTCATCAGCAGGCTCGTCGATCTCGGCGAGCAGCGGGAACGTCGTCGTCGAGGTGTCCGTCGGCGGGTGTGTCCGCGTCCGCCCCGACGCCGGCCCGTACTTCGCCTTCCACACCTCCAGCGACAGCGTCTCGTGGCAGATCACTTCGACCGACGTGACAACCTTGTTGTCGTTCAAGTCCAGCACCTCCCAGCCCTTGCTCCCCGGCGACACGCCTAGGTGAAGCCCCCAGCGGGCCTTTGGCGCCAGCTTCCCACTGCGTTGCTGCTCGGGGACCATGAACTGCACCATGCATCCCCACACCCGCTCCATCGTGAGGTCGGGCTTCTTCCCGGTCAGCAGTTGGTACGGGGGCGTCGACCGCTCCAAGCAGTTGCGCACCCAGACGGCCTGTCGCAGGGCGAGCTTCCACCAGTGGTGCTGCACGCCCATGTGCAGCAGCATCGTCCGCATGGACTCGATGACCGTGCGCATCTCCCGCTCAGCCATGCCGTTCTGTTGCGGAGTGTAAGGGCATGTCAGGTCGTGGACGATGCCCTTCCCGTCGACGAAGTTGGTGAACGCCTTCCCGAGGAACTCCCCTCCCCGGTCTGAGCGGAGCATCAGCACAGACTTCTTCGTCTGCGCTCCACCAGCACCAGCCACTTCTCGAACTGCCACAGCACGTCGCTCTTCTTAGCGACCGGCACCACCCACACGAACCGAGTGTGGCGATCCTTCAGCAGCAGGAAGTACAAGTTGCCATCCTTGGCAGCCACCCGAAACGGCCCGCACAAGTCAATGTGCACGACAGCCAGTGCCTCCTCAGCGTCCGAGACACACGGCGGGTCCGCTCTGGTCGACGGCTTGATGTCGAGCCCAGTAGCAACTTCATGCTTCGCCGAGCTCTTGATCGTGTCGACGCCGACGTGCGCGAGCCTCGCGTGCCAACGGTCGGGGGTCGACTTCGTCGCCGAGGCTATCGTCCGGAGAGCCACCACCTCGGTCGACGGCGACATCGTCGAGCAATGGCGAAGGTCAGTGCAGAGGACTCGGCCGGTGTAGCGTGCTCGACCGAGCACTTCCCCGATCGCGGCGACGAGCAGCATCTCGTCGCCGTTGCCCTGCAGCTGCACTCAACTCTCCTTCAGCTGGCCAGCTGACAGCAGGTTCGCCTGTACTCCCGGAACGTAGAGCACGTCTGGGATGAGGACCCGCTTCCCGGCCTCCCCTTGCAGAGCGACGGTTCCGCGACCTTTGACAGGCTGCAACGCCCCATTGAATCCACGCACGTGCTTCACACTGCCGCTCGGCACCTCGTCGACGAAGACCGCCTTCGTCCCCATCAGGTGGTGGGAGCAACCGCTGTCGAGCAGCACCGCCATCGAGTTAGCCTGTACAGCTGCCGCCACCGCCTGGAAGTCCTCGCCAGCCTCCGGCGCTAGCGAGACTGTCGGCTCCACCACGCCGACCATCGAGCACGACGCCTCCCCGTCGCCTCTGCCTTTGCCGCTGGAGTTGTCAACGTCCTTCGTCGACGACGTCTTCTTCGACGTCTGCTTCTCCTTGCATGACTTTTCATCTCGACGTGGGCGACGACTGGTCGACCAACCGCGGCCTCCCTTGTTGTCGTCCTCGTCTCTGTCGTCGCGGTCGGGGCACTCGTAGGAGAGATGGTGGGGGTCGTGGCAGATCCAGCACTCCCGCCGTCGACCACCACCTCCACGACCCTTGTCACGCGTAGACTTCGCCTGGTCGACGTCCTTCGTCGACCGCCCACCTCCGCTACCACCTCCGCCGGGCTTCCCGCGCTGCCCCTGCTGTTGATTCGGCTTCGTCGGGGCTGCGTAGCTCGCTTGCGGAAGGAGCTCTGTGGGTTGTTCTGCCTCCTGCAGAGCCTCGTCTTTGATGACGTAGCTGGTGAGGGAGTCCTCGTCGAGGGACTCACGCGTGCCGGGCACCATCATCATCCACTTCATGAGGTTGTAGTTGCGCGTCAGGCCCTTGATGACGTGGGTGATGTAGGACGCCGTCGAGTATTCGATGCCCGCCATCCGCATCTCAGCCAGGATCCGTCGAGCACGGTTGCAG